TATATATATCCAATTTTTCAATAATATTTACTATAGTATCAACCCTGGCAAAACACATTGGAATAAGCTCAATGATCGACGAATGTGAACATTTAATACTTTTAAACTATGATTAATTAGCAGGATAAGAGTCACCGGTCTCAAAATAAGATGAATTTTGTGTGTCCCTAAACTTTGCAATATGGTTCACATTGTACTCGGTTAATGGTTGGAGTCATATCTAGTGTTATTGCTATAAAAGTGAGCTAAATTTACTCTTTTTGACTAAAGAGTACAAGCTTTTCAACACGAACATCTCTTCACCGGTAAAAATAATTAAAATTTTCCTTTAACTGTGTGAAATGGACTAGATTTGTCATTAATTTTGCGAACTAATCCAGATTTACAACCATTTTACTCAATCATCATCCCCATGTCTTTAAATCGATCATCACCACCATGACAATTGATTTTTCACTCTAAAAACTACCACTTGAAAGCCACCTTTACTCTACCACAATTTCTCGTTCTCATTATACTTACAAAATGAACACACAAATCGATGCAAATGGCTATGGAACCTCAACTACTTTCCCAGGTCACCATTTTACCTCCGCCGGAGTGGCGGAGCTACGTAACTCCAAGGGATGTCAACTGACACTCCTTCGCTCTCAAAAATACACTATTTAGGTAGGTAAAAATTATTCTTTTATGTATATATTCTATGTACTACATCTCATTGTCTTTTCTTGTATTTACTTCTTTAAATTTTGACACACCTTAATGAAAATCATGTCTCAACTACCTCAAACCACTGGCCCTCAACGACTATAATACTTTCTGATCGTCACAATGTTATTGCAAATAATTTAATAGTTAAATTATATGTACCTGAGCTTATTTTAGCATTAGTAGGTCGATGTACAGCTCTAACATTGTCATTTGTGATGAGGGGTGCATGCGCGTGTGTATACGTAATTCCAAAGTCTTGATTCTTTCCCCGCGATGAAGTTTAATTCTACAATTCCTTATTGGGCCCATGCAGCACCCACCAAGTATTGCATAACTAATCCAGTTTTCAAGCTTAATTACCAAACAACATTCATCGAGAAGAAAAAAAATCGCTTTTAATGCGCTTTAGAAATTATTTATATTTGGTAGTTAAAAAAATATATAAAATATGTATAATCTTTATAAATAACATATAGAATGTATATATATACAAAAAAAATTCAAAACATATATATTTTTTTGATATTATTTTGAGAGCAACTATACAATGTTATTTTTTCGAAGAAAAATTACAAATTCAACCCCCCCCCCCAAAAAAAGGGTAAAAGCGTATTTTCAAAAGGGGATACACTAAATCTTTTGCTTCTCTGTTTTCTTTGTTCAAAATTAAATAAATCCCCTAAGGGGTCTAGGGTGTTCTGTTTTGCTTTTGACCTATTTTTGGAAGCTTCACTAAGTACTCTCAAGTACCATCATCAGAGAGTTTAATTACTCCTGTTCCTTATTCCTTTTTGCAGCATTTGGTCATCTGACAAAATTAACAAATTAGCTTCTGCTACTAGAATAAGGTAACGTAAAAAAAAAATCAAATCCTCTTCAATTCAATTTCTGCAAAGAGGTGTATTTTCTAACAAACCCAGCTCAAGAATTTATGATTTTCTCTCTTTCTTGAGCACTTTTGGGTATTGGGTTTCTTGTAAATGTAAAGAAATGGGGGGTGGGTCTATTTCTTGTACTCCTCAAATATATTAGCTGGCTTTGTCTTTGTGCCATCGGCAGCACAAGTAAGTAGTACTATATGCTTTTCTTCAACAAATGAAAATACTGTCTGATTCAAGAAAATAAGGTATGAGCAAAATACTGTCTTTTTAGTACACCTATGTTCAAGTGCCAAAAAAAAGATGTCATCATCTTCATCTGGAAATAAAATTAGCCCAGCTGTTCTTTTTATCATAGTAATATTAGCTATCATATTCTTTATTTCTGGTATTCTCCATTTGTTAGTTAGGTATTTAATGAAACATAGGTTCTCTTCACAATCTGCTAGAGACCCTGAAATGTCTGATTCTGGTTCCTATCAAAGGCAATTACAACAACTTTTTAATCTACATGATTCAGGTTTAGATCAGTCCTTTATTGATGCACTCCCTGTGTTTCTTTACAAAGATATAATGGGTTTAAAAGAACCATTTGATTGTGCTGTTTGTCTTTGTGAATTCTCAGAACAAGACAAGTTAAGGCTGCTCCCTTTATGTAGTCATGCTTTTCATATAAGTTGTATAGACACATGGCTTTTGTCAAATTCTACTTGCCCACTTTGTAGAGGGAGCCTTTTTACACCTGGTTTTTGTATTGAAAATCCAATCTTTTACTTTGATGATACAACAAGAGATGAATGTTGTGGTGGTGGGGTTTCAGAAAATGGAAGTGTTATTGTTGGTCCAAAATTACATGAGGATATTGATAGTAAGATCAGTTCAAGAAGGGTGTTTTCTGTTAGACTTGGCAAATTCAAGAACACAAACAATGGTATTCTTGAAATTGAGAAAAGGGAAATGGGAGAGACTAGTAATAGTAATTTGGATTCAAGAAGGTGTTTTTCAATGGGGTCTTTCCAATATGTGGTGGCTGATTCAGAATTGCAAGTGGCATTGTGTCCCAATAGTGCTAAAAGTAATGGTGTAGATGGTGGTGGTCATCAATTGAGGGGAAATGTGAAAGGGAAAAGTGGACAAAATGGAAATTCCGCAAATGATGGGGATAATTATGGGAAAAGGATAAATCTTGGAAATAGAGGGGAGAGTTTTTCTGTTTCCAAGATCTGGCTCTGGTCCAAGAAGGATAAATTTCATAATTCTGCTGACAATGTAAGTTTGCCATGGACGGATCATCATAGAGCTCCACCTGTTTGAAGATAGTATAAGAGGGTAGCCAGAGACTAAGCTTATGCGCGGGGTTCGGGGAAAGGCCGGACTGCATTGTGCATGATGTACGCCCCAAATTCTTACAAGAGACTCTTTCCGCATCATGAACTCGTGACCTCATCCTGGTCAACCTGAGGCAACTAGTATACAATCTTTTTCTTTTTCCTTTCTTCAATTGCCTTGTAGTTTGGTTAATTAAATTTATTTGATTATTCAGTTGTCATAAGTTCTTTTGGTGCTTTTGCTTTTCTCTTTTTTCACTTTTCTGCTTTGAATGATGCTTCTTTCCAATTTCCACTTTTGTGGAAGAAGGATAACATGTTCCACTTTTATCTTTTTTCTATTAGAATCCCATAAAATTCACCCAAGATTTGAGAAAGTTCTTTTTCCTGCTAACTTATGGTTTGAAAATATTACCTCTAAGACTTCTTATGCTTCAAGGGACCACTTGGGGTTGCTGAAAAGTTTAAATATTTGATTAATATAATTCCTGCAGTGACATTTTTCAAACTCATTTAAATGCTGCAATCTCAAGAAAAAATAAACCTAGATCAACTCTTGGGACTCTTCCTTCCTATTTTAATAATCCTGTTTGTGTCTCCCAAAATATTCTCCACAGTTTCAAATCCAATTGCCGGTATTATCCTGTTTTGTCTCTTTTGAAGCTCTATGGTGTTTGAACAATGCCACAAGGACAACAAATTGCTGATTAAATCTGACCCTTAGGCTACTAAATTCTACTTCATTAACCTATGGCTGAAAAAGTGAAGAGCATAAACTCTATTAATGTCAAGCTCCTTCCACTTAAACATGATTGAAGTGTAGGATTCTTGATCTATGATCAATTTGTACACCCACTAGTAATCAAGATTGGTGTACACTTACCTCTTGTTTTCTTTTTTAATTAATTTATTACCCTACATCCAGAGGTCAGTAATATTCTCACTTATTATCAGCAAAGTTACTGATGAGCGAGGTATTTTACGTTTGAGTAAGTCTCACTCGTATTGTGTGATATAATCTTTTAACTTATAAATCTTGTGATATTATCCTTTAACTTATAAATCTTGCCTCCCAAAAAAAAGGAGGAATACAAAAGCAGTAGTAGGACCTACTAATGCTCTAGTAAATGACAATTTCCCTCTCCCAATTGATTAAATTTATAGAAAATGGTAGTAGCCCCACAAAATATATTCTTCAGTCTGATAATGGTGAAAAGTGATGTGGGAGACTTTAGTTATGAATTGGATGGTTTCCAAGCTGTGGGGACATTGAAGTCTTCCTTATACTCTTAGCTTATATTGCTGTTGCACTAAATTACAAGAAACTATGTGGGGTGCTGACCTATTGAAAAATATGAACACACTTCTAATTATTTTGTCGACTAAGCTACCCACTCCACTGTTTTTACTTTTTAATGCATATTTTGTAATAGGACAGGGTTGTATTTTAAGACATATATAAGTTCAAAGTTGACAACTTAACAGTGTTTTGAACTTATAAATAATTGTAGGTAGGACAGATCATAAACTACAAATAACGAATGGAACTACCAAATGAACAGTTCATTCAAGGCTTGTTTAAATAAAGAAAGAAACCAAATGAAAAACTTCATTTAACAGATCGAAATAATGAAAAAAGTTATTTAGCATAAAATGACATTATAAATGTCAAAAGAGTGCCAGACCAAGATATTACAAATCTAACCGTTTTGCATGAGTTCGAATCCTAACCACTAGCTCCTTCATTTAATTTCTTTCTGTAAGTTTTACCGTTGAATTATTAGAAGACTTATATGTTATCGTACCCACCAGATAGTGGAATCAATAATTGATATGCTTTTCTTTTCTGAGAATCAATTGAAATTTCTCCAACATAATAACTTGATAGACTTTCACTCTAATCTTTCCTACTCCCATTTTCCACGGATCTTCAAAATTGTTATAATGTTTGGAGCATCCTACACAGGTGCAATAATATTTTTGGCAGATCCAAGCAACATAATTTGCCATGAAAATCATAGGTAAACTTTGTTGTTTACGTTGTATCCCAATTACATGTGAGCAGCAGATCTTTGATGGTGGATAAAGTAAAAACAGCGCATTTTATATAACTCAAAAAAGAAATGTCTAAAATATAGCCAAGGTCCCAACTCAACCTATATTACAATTCTTGAATGTGATTACTCAAAAATCTAGAAAAAAATGAGACTTACATATATCAAAACTTTTAACAAGGAGTCCAACAAGGTCTCCTGTGTATGTGCCTCAACAAAGGCAAAATTTGACTTACACAATGGCATACTTGGGTTTCTCAGATCAATAATGTACACTGGCTATCTTTGAAGGAAGGAGAGAAGGATGACTTGAGGAGTGAAGCCACTTGAATCCGACTAGCACATGCTACATCTCCCACAACAATACAAACAATGAGCTGAAGCTTCCGCGTACTGATTAACAATGTAAGATCTCGCAAATCATCCTCTTATAAGGCCATTCGACCTCACAAATCACGAGGAAAATTGTTGATTTGGCCTTCCTCTAATACGTCTTTATTATTCACCTTATAAGCTATCCGTATGCGCATGACAAGGGATTTCTGGGGAAAGAGGAAAATATTAGAAAAGCTAAAACTGCAATAAGGTTGACAATGTTCACAGGCTATAAATAGTAAGGTCGGCTATAAACCTGCACTTGAAAAATGTCTTACAGTGCTCCAAAAAGCTGTGGACGATGGATGTGCATACATATTGCAATAATAATAAGAGCATGTGGAAAAAGTGCTTATTTTATAGTCAGGTTTTGGAAAAGAATGATCATGCAAATTGCTAGAAGGTGATCAGTCATCGAATGCATGGAAGATATCCATTAAAAGGAATCAGATATCACATACCTTGCCACGTTGGCTGTTTGTGATTTTCAACTTTTGCGTGATTGATCCATTACCATTTGCAGGTAGCGTATTACCACTTGCTGGATCCAAGTGCAGTTGAAGAAACTACAGCAAAATGACGAAATAAGCATAGTTGACAGATGATGAACATGGTACATGATTTAAAATTAGACCGAATAAAGTTTTAACAAGTAAATAATTATATGTGACAGTTGCAATAGATGAAGTAATAGGTAAGTAAAACTCAGAAAATTACTCTATGAATGACAAAGCCTGTTTGGACAAGCTTCTAAAATCAGCTTATTTTGAAAAGCACTTTTCCCAAAAAGTATTTTTTGTGAGAAGCAGTTTGTGTTTGACTAATTAATCCAAAAAATACTTTTGAGCAGCAGTTAATGTTTGGTCAAGCTTTCAAAAAGTGCTTCTAAATGTATTTTTCTCAAAAGTGCTTTTGGGAAGAAGTTGCTTTTTTCTGCTTCTAAAAAATTGCTTCTGCTTCTACTCAAAAGCACTTTTTAAAAGCTTGGCCAAATACCTTAACTTTGAAAAAGTAAAAGCACTTGCCCAAAAAGAAGCTTGGCCAAACCGGCTTTTAAAATGATTTTTGCCAAACAAATGATTTAGAATCATCACAGAAGATGCAAGCTCAGGAGGGGAAATTATTGGTTAATCATAAACCAATCCTTCTATGCCAACTCCCGCTCCCAAGTGAAAGAAAGAATTTTTTATTTTAAAAAAATACAATTACCTTTGGTACTGCAGCTTGGAAAATAAAGTTTGTGAGAACTTCTTGTGACTTGTTTGTAAAACTAGCTTCAATAAGTATTGTCTGAGGGTTTCCAGGCTGCTTTGAGAAGTTGAACATTAATTTTAAAGAGCTGCTATCAAATGCAACTATTGATGGATATGCTGGACAATTGCCTTCTGTAACTGAGAAAAGTAAAAAAGAGTCAACTTAGAAGAAGCATTAGACTGTACCCAAGTTTAAAGCATAGAACAGAGACCATACCAGGAATTGATGGACTGGAAGGGAACCCATTCAATAAATCCAACATAGGAGAACTTCCAGCTGTAGACGAGACTTGAACTGAAGGAGCCGAAGGTGAAGACAATCTATCTAATAGATCCACCGGACTTCTAACGTCAACATTGGAGGGCGACACCTGAGTTGTAGATGGGCTGCTATTAGCAGGTGGTGTTCCAATTGACAGAAGATCCAGTAAAACATCGGTGCCACTCTTTTGAGCCTGATTTGTACCTGAAATTCAAAGAGCAAAATGAGAATAATTTCAAGCTCGTGCAAATCCATTCACCTTTCCGTTCTCCCCTTTTCTTTCCTTTTTTACTGGTGATGTTCTTGGGCAAAACAAGTTGGTGGGGTTGCCTAAATCTAGTTTTAGGGTAGAATAAAAATCTTAAAGTAGAACTTTAATACTACCCTAACTTTTGATCAAAGATATCGTGTAGGAAGTACAGTCTGAAACACAAAGCATCCCAAATCTGGAATCTAAACTCAAGAATTGTGCTCCTGTTCCACAATTTACTAGCAAAAACTCACACAAATCGACTTACTAAACATTAACATTCAGTGATCCAAATTATTGTGCTTTTGTTCTACAATTTACTAGCAAAGCTTTTCCACGACATAATTTGACTTCGTAAACAGTAATTCCAAGTGCATGTTACTGTTATATGTTCATTAAACATTTGCATCTATGCCCTTAGGATAACAACAACAACAACAAATCCAGTGAAATCCCACAAAGTAGGGTTTGGGGAGGGTAAAATGTACGCAGACCTTACCCCTACCTTACGAAGGTAGAGAGACTATTTTCGATAGACCCCGGCTCAAGAAGAAAAAACTAAAAGGAAGCAGAAATAACTAGTAACCATAGCAAGCAAAGGTGATAAAATAGCCGGAGCGAAAGAAACGACATATAGTAAAAGAAATATACGGATACGAAAAAATGAAAGTATGAGAGTAACACTAATAAGACATAAAAATAAGACATGCCCGCTTAACCACTACCCTTCTACCCTAATTCTCAACCTCCATATCTTTCTATCAAGGGCCATGTCCGCAGTAAGTTGAAGTAGCGCGATCCAATTAATCAAGATACAAAATGAGAATCGTATCCATATGATTTTGCACCATGTCATGCCTAATCACCTCTCCCCAATACTTCTTAGGCCTCCCTCTACCTCTTCTCAGCCCCCCCCCATTGCCAACCTCTCACATCTCCTCACTGGGGCATCTATGCACCTCCTCTTCGCATGTCCGTACCATCTCAATCTAGCTTCCCTCATCTTGTCCTCTACAGGTGCCACTCCACCTTTTCCTGAATATC